TGATTTGATATTAATATTTTTCATGTCATGATTTTCATATGACACCTTTGTATTTTTGTGATGGCTTGAACATTTACACCATTATGTTCTTCTCTTCTTTCTTGTTTACAATGATAAAAGGGGAAAGAAAATAGCTAGCATTTCAAGAGAACCAAATTTGCTAGCTTGAATGATAAACTTAGACATGTTAGAGCTCCTAAATGCATAAATTCTTATATAATTTTTGAATCATGATATTAATTTCTCAAATTTTAGACTTTATCTATCATTTTTTATGATTGAAATAATGCTTGGAATATTGATGTAATTATGAATGATGATGCATGCAATACTGCAACTTATGATAATGATGTATGCAATGATGAAATATTCATGATGAATTTTTTTTTTTTATATTCATGACTTGATTTTTTCATCTTTATTATTTATCCTTGTCATGATTTGAAGATTATAGTAAAGAGAAATGAATTATATTATTATATTATTATATTATTATTCTTCTCGTTTTGCCAATGATAAAGTGGGAGAAATTATTACTAGCGTGCATATCACGAAAAGAGGCAAACTTGCTCATCTCAAAAGAGAAGCAAGAAGTGCTATATTGCAATTCTCAAGAGAAGCAATGTTTGCTACGTTACACATTTCAAGAAGATACAAAAATAGTCTATCTTGCATATATCAAAAGATGTAAAATTTTGCTAACTTTCATATATGTAAAATTGCTAGCTTGCATACTCTAAAATGATATAAATTCACTAACTTGCATGATGTAGAACTTGCTATCTTGAACATCACCAAGAAATGCTATCTTGCCTATCTCAAAAAGCAAAACATGCTAACTTGCACATATAGGATAATTTACAAACTTGCAAAACTCAAAATTTTTGCTAGCTTGCATGTAAAATGATGTACAATTTTGCTAGCTTGCACTTTGCCAAGGAAGCAAAAATTGCACTTCTCAAAAGAGAAGAAAGAAAATTACTTGCTTGCATGATGATAAAACTTAAGATTATATTTATAATGTAATAATTTAAATTTATATCTAAACACTTAGAAGTTGCACTTCTCCTTTTTGTTGATGACAATGAGGAGAAGTTATGTTGATGATCATGTATGGAATGATGTATTGGATATTTTGATTATGTATGATTTTACGATGCATGCAATGATGTGATAAATTGATTATTTCAATTGGTTATTTCAATACTCATTTTGCATGTAATGTTGAAATACTATGATTTTAAAGTTTCTATCAATATGACATATTGATAGGGGGAGTTTGTTTAAACTCCGTCATCAATTGGTTGTCATCATAAAAAAGGGTGAGATTGTTGAATCTCAAATTTTGATGATGAAATCAATTGATAGTGTTTATCTAATGTGCATTTGGGTGATGCAGGACTAGCTTGGATCAGAAGAGGCAAATCGATAAAAGCAGGAGGAATCAGACGTTGGGTCGGAGCAAACACGTCAAAAGATTGGACGTCGAGCCGGAGGATCGATGGACGTGTCGGTAGAAGGTTTCGGTCCATAAATTCAAGCATTGCACCAAGAAGATCGGACATTGCGCCAAGGAGATCAGATGTTGCGAGAAGACAACATGCTGATTGGGCAATACGCCGAAGGAGATGACGATGCGCCGAAGGATCAGACAAAGCGCCGGAAGAACCAATGACATGCCGGACAACAAAGGATTCACTTGTAATCAATTATGTCTAGATCGAGTTAGTTTAGAGTTTAATTGAGTCAATTTAGAATATAAATAGACCAACTCAATTAGGGGCCAATTGGGCCTAAGTTTGGGTTGTGTTGGACCAAGTGAAAAGGCCCAAACAATGACCCAATATGTGGCACCGTTGTGGAACAATCTCCGAGATTGTGTCAGGCGGTGGTACCGCCTAAACACAGTCTTTGAGAGACTGTCAGACAGTGGTACCGTTAGTCCAGGTGGTGGTACCGCCAGACTGGGTGGTGGTACTGCCCAGTGTCAGTGCTACGGGCGGTGGTATCGCCTGTACTCGGGAACCCAGGATGAGACATTTTTAGGCTCCAAGTTTGAATCAACTTGAGGCCTATAAATACCTATCTCATTCTTGGTTAACTCACACAAGAATAGAGAGTGCAAAAAAAAAAGAAAACACTGTTGTAATCTCGTGTGAACTCCTCTAAAAGCTGTAAGTGTTGGTATACTTTTATAGATGAGTGAAGGGGGTGTAAAGGTTATCTCCGCCTATTGAAAGAAGATCGTAAGTGGATGCCGGTGGCCTCGACAGAAGAGGAATCGGTGGAGTTGATGTAGGTTACGACGACCGAACCACTATAAATCGATTTGCATTCTTATTCTACTTTAAAGTTAAACACTTTTCGAGATCAATTTTCGACGAACGAAGATTTTACAAAATCGACGTTTTTATCCGATGTACTAATTCACCCCCTACCAACTCGTTTCTGACATAGTAAATATGTATTAATGTAAGTGTTATTTGATAAAATTATATTTTAAAAGTTTATTAAATGTTATGTAACAAATGTATTATTCTAACCTTTTTAATAATTATTCAAAAATAAATATTTTTTATTTTAAATAAAAATAAATATGTGTATGGCTCATATATAAAATAACTAAAAATAATAATATAAATGAATGTAAAATAATTTGAAAAATAAATAAAATAAAATTTAACTTTATAGAAGATATAAATTATGTTTGTTTTTTTACTAAATAATGTTATTATATCAAAAATACATTGCTCTTTGGATAATAAAGTTGGTTTTATTATTGAGATTAGACTCGTTAGAGAAAGAGTTTTGAGAGGAAATGAGGATTAGAGTTTTGATTATACAATGACAATTTTATGATTATAGGATGTCATAAGATACTTTAAAATTTTTAAGAAGTTTCATTATCATTTCACAAAAATTGAAATGTTGACGTTATGCTAAGGGAATATTAGGTATTTGAGCATCTGCAATATGGTATCATTTGATATAGATTTATCAAATATCAATTCCTATTCGAAATAAACATTGTCAAATCTAAAATATGTATCGGTCTCTTAATATATATTTTAAATATGTTCTCGAACACACTTTATATCCCAAAAGACAAATACAAAAGGTTAATTGAGCTTATAATGGATGCTAAAATTTTATCGACTCTAACTCGAATCGAGTTATTATAGAAAGCGATCAACTAAACTCAATGATGCGATTGGATTAGTGGTGAAAACAGGGTGAGTCGAAGTCCATGCCGCAATAAAACAATCTGAATCCGAGGACTAGGAAGGTTCGGTTGGACCAAGTCAAGCACAAATCATGCTTGATGCAAACCTATTTCCATCACCTTTGCCTTCTTTTGGGTCACAACATATAAATAAATATGCAAATAATAATACAAATCATGCTCAGGGAGGGGTTGATGGACGAAGCTGCGCCATTCGGTGTTCATCTACGGCCACGTCTCTACCCCGACGGAGGCCGCAGGCTTCTCGGCTGGCTCGGTTTCCTGATCATGGCGTCGTCCTCATTCAGCATCATCGACGCCGGCAAGGCGGCATCGTCGGAGGTCGTCTCGTGCCTCTTCGGGACGTACGTGCTGTGGATGGTTGGGATGGTCGCCATGTTGCTGCCGGTGATGTTTCCCAATTCTCCGCACGCGGCATGGATGGAAGCTTTCGTGGTCTCGAGCATGATGTGGCTCGTGGTTGCAGCTTATGAATACCCACGGCTTGTGTAATAGTTTGATACAAATCAAACAAGGTCTTTTATCCAGTTGATATTTACTAGTTTTCCTCTGTGTTGTTGTTCTTGAGTTGTCGATGGCCACAGTTGGGTTCGTGAAGGTAAGTTATGCTGAGACCGTGACGGAAAGTGAAGCACGAGAACGAAAAGAGTACTGGTTTTCTCAGAATCTTGTACATATTCGACAATTCATGTATAGTCTTCCCTGCAGATTCACAACGCTAATGATCTCACATATATATACTTCTACTGTCTGCAAAGGTTGCTATGAGAGCGAGGTAAGCTGGTCACACATGTTATTGCATCGACGATGGGAAATCCAAGTTATGACATACGATCTTCCCTGCACTAGTGCTGCTGTCACCTCTTCATTTCATAGGCAGAACTGGAGAGCCCATTTAATACAGAGTTGATGCAGGCAGCTGCTGCTCGGATCAGATGGACCAAGCCAACATTTATAAGCACCAAGATCGGTGGATTTCGAAGCATGCGCTGTTCTACATCCTTTTTACGTTTGACTTTTCTGGTGATCTTTGTATTATGTCTTTGGTCATGAATGATAGCTGAGGATTCCAAAGAGCGGAAATAGGTAAGAGTCACAGCCATCTTTCGAGCCACTTAGTCTGTGGTGCTCGAGATCTCTCAGTAGCGGACGGCGTTGCGTGTGCCAACATCGTCACACCGAGCATGGGGAGGCAGAACCCCACTTCGGCCTCCGGGCCTTTTGCCCGTCTCCTCGGCACAGATTTAACGCTGCTTTCTCTGACTTTTCCAAGGGTTGGAACTCTTGTCTCCGATCAGGAAAAGAAAGAGAAAGGGAGCGAGCTGCGAAGCATGGGTTCCTGATCTGCGCCATGAGGCGGGCCACACCGTCCTGTCTCCATCACGAGTGCCAGCAGCCAAGTAATTAGCTTCCTTGCGCAAGATTTGGTGGATGACAACCGGTGATCGCCAGTAGCTTCAAAGTCGTGGCTCATTCCCTTGTTCTTAGGATCAAATACATACATACATACATACAAGAACACAGCAGATACATGTCGGAGGCAAGCAGAAGCGGTGACATGCGAAAGGTGACTGATCCTTTACCTGTGGAGCAATCGCAATTGAATGGACACCTACAAACCTTTCACTGTTTGGGAAAGACCAACCCACACACAGCAACTCCATCTTTTCACTCCCTCTCGCAAATGGCAACAGCACTCTCGCTTTCCTCTTGCACCACAACATTCACCCGCAACAGCTTTACAGTCTCCCCCTCTTGAGCTCTTTCTCCTCCCGTCTTCGTGGTTAAAGGCAGAGAGGAAGGAAGGAAGAGGAGATAGAACAAGTGCTACCGTGATAGCGAGAGACACAGAGAGAGAGAGAGAGAGAGAAAGAGAGGAGGGAGCTCGGAAGAGAGATGGGGAGGGGGAAGATAGAGATCAAGAAGATCGAGAACCCAACCAACAGGCAGGTGACGTATTCAAAGAGGAGAACGGGGATCATGAAAAAGGCCAAGGAGCTGACCGTGCTGTGCGACGCAGAAGTGTCCATCATCATGTTCTCCAGCACCGGCAAGTTCTCCGAGTACTGCAGCCCGACCGCCGAGTACGCCTCCAACCCTTGGTAGTAGAGCATGCAACCCCTTCCGTTTCTTCTCCCTTTATGACACAGTGGCGGCGTTGTTGATGACACAGCACCAAGAAGATGTACGATCGCTACCAGCAAGTTACCGGGATCAACCTGTGGAGTACGCAGTATGAGGCAGGAAATCTCGATCCTTTCTCTCAAAGCTTCCTTCCTCTTAAATCTGTCTTGGCCACACCTTTGACGACTACTTCTTCCGTTCGTAGAAAATGCAAAATCATCTCAGCCATCTGAAGGAGATCAACAGGAACCTCCGCAGAGACATAAGGTTAGGGTTTTTGACAGAGGAGAGTCTATATGTTGGCTTCTGCGGTTAACGATATTGATGCTTTTGTATGATCGGAAGGCAAAGGATGGGCGAAGGCTTGGATGGACTGGACATGAAGGAACTGCGCGGTCTTGAGCAAAATCTGGATGAAGCTTTGAAAGTTGTGCGTGACAGAAAGGTATGCGACCTCTCTTGCACTTGTTAGGGTTTTCTCCTTTCGATCATAAAGATTAAGGGTGATCGACAAGGCTGTCCTCATTCTACATGCCGATCATCGTTGCCATCTGCTGTTCTTTTAGATTCATTACCTGAGTAAAATGTTTCGAATAAGACAAGTAACATTTGATGAAGGCAGATAAGAACATCAACATCTTTAGAAATAATCAACTTATCCTGACCAAAAATTTGTGAAGGTGTCAACTATCTTAGCTGATAAATCTTGTGAAATGCTAGCTTCTTTTTGCAAATCTTGTCTTCGAGAAACAGGAATCTAATCTTGGCTTTGAATTGGATGGCAGTATCACTTGATCGCAACTCAGACAGACACCTACAAGAAGAAGGTGTGTAAAGAACCATATGGTTTTATGTGATTGCTTTCTTATCCATTATTCATAAGAACTTACATAGATATATATATAAAGAAGATAAATGTGCAAGAAATTTGCACAAAGTTGCATTATACATGCGTACACTAAATAAAGCACATCGAATCACTCACTAGCATATTTCTATCGGAAGAACACTGTGTTTGCATGCCATCGAACATTCGATTCCAGCGACTGAGTCGTAACGTGTGAATGATAAATGCATGTGCAACGCAAACATTGGATTCGGATGCAGCTGAAGAGCGCCCACGAAGCACACAGGAACCTTCTGCAAGAAGTGGTGAGTGGCCATCCTCTTCTTCGTCTTCCTTGCTTGGTTTCGGCGACGGATGAATCCGTGGACGGATGTGAATGGTGTGGTGGACACAGGAGATGATGAAAGACGAGCAGGCTGCTTGTGGATTCGCCGACGACGACCCCGGCAACCACGACGGCACGCTTGTGCTCACCGGCGGCGGGTCTCACATGTACGCTATCCGCGTCCAGCCCAACCAGCCAAACCTGCAAGGGATTGCCTACGGGTCTTACGATCTGCGCCTCGCTTAGGTTTGCATGCAGGCTTAGCAAGTCAAGCTAGAAGAAGAAGAAGAAGTGATGTTTCTGCTATCACAGTCAGTAGTTATCCCTGCAGTGTCTTGCAGATGTTGTCTTCCTCATGTTACGCAAATATGTATGGAACTCGTCATCGTCTTTATGTATGTGACATAATGTAAGACCTTATCTAAATGCATGTTTTTATGTAGGGTGATATTGGTTGAGTTGCTATAAGACTCTTGGTTTTCTTATTTTTAGTTAACATCAAACCCTGGTTTGATCCTTCTTGTCAGCAGAAAATAGATCTCATAGCATCAGATTTGTTATAGGAAAAAATGACTGATCTCCGAGATGAATCCAAGATGGTTCTAAGATGGATCCGAGATGGATTTGAGATAACTCTCATGAAGTGCACCTGCACCTGCATGAAGTTGGAGGATTTCTCGACTAAATCCCTTCGATGCTCAGATTAATGGAAACGAGTATTTTTCTCCTTATTTAGGATATACTTTTATATTTTTGGAAGATTGAAACATAGTTTGTAATTGTCTTCTTTCGACATAAAGAGAAAAAAAGAAGTTTATGATTATCTTCCTTAAGAAAATTTATGTTTATCTTTTTTATCATAATAAAAATAAAAGAAGTATACCATTTTTTGTACACGAGTGTATGAAGGGTAATGTCAATCTTACGTGACAATTAATTACATGTTAACTATGATAAATTTCTTATCAAGATTCATACAAGGAAAAAGGAATAAAATACAAATGAAGATACAAAAAGAATTACAATGTTGGTTTCAGGCAAAAAATTATAATTATTCTTTATTGACCTCTCAAACTCTTAACAATTTCTAGTGTGGAGTAGTTGTAGAAATTTTGGAATCTCCAATAATTTTTTTTTGACATTTTGAAGATAATAAATAAAATTAAAATAATAAAGAGAAAATTAGCATGATCCATATGATCTGGTGTAAGGATGAAATGCACAAATCAAGAAAATGATATAAGTTTTTTTAACAAAAAATAAAAAAATTTCACAAATTAGTTAAATCAAGATATTTCATTAATAGTAGAATTGAGAAATGTTTCTATATTTTCATCATCAACTAAGTTATATTATTGTTAAACTAAAAGCACATTTAATTATAACATATAATTAAGAGATTGGTGGAATCTAATTGGGTTCAATTTGGCACCAGCCCGGGACATAGAGAGATGTCTCGGCCCAAACCTTTCCTCATGCTACCATCAACTCTTTCCTTAACCTAAACCTACCCATTTGTGATTTTTAGCTCAATAGAAGGGACATGATAATTTTTTGTAAATTAGTTTATATGAATTCAACTTGGTTTTTCCTAAATTTTACATTTTAATCCTGATTTTAGGGTATCAATCAAAGTACTATTTGAGGAATCATTTACGTTCTTTTTAATTTAACAATATATATAGATTTAGCGATGAAACTATTTTTTTTAGCTCTTTTTAATTTAACGATATTTATACATGTAGTGATGAAACTATATTTCTAGCTGCAAATAAATTTTAGTGGAAAACATGTCTAGTGATACCATATGTCAAAGATTTAGTTAATTTTATATAATCGAGAATTTTACGACTCAAAAGATCCTCATCTTTGAATCTTATATAATTTTTTAAAATTTTAAAAAATCGAGTTAGTGAACAAACAAACGCACGAATAAACTATCATCGTCACCTCATCGAAATTGTTGGAATACAATTTGAATTACACAAACATCACTTTGTAAAACACTCCATCTGGTTGAAACACAATGTTTGTTCGATTGTTATCTGTTGAACTTTGTATGTATTTGAAAGTAGGATATATTGTACATGTTATTTATTGATATTGTACGTGATAACCGATTGAGTTATACTGAATATAAATATGAATTTTGAGTTTTCGTAAAGATTTATGTCTTACAATTTTCATAGAAAAATTATGAAAATTACGATATTGTATCGCTCTTGACTTTTTGATGAGTATTACGCTATATTTGACAATGGACACACTTTGACTATTGCCCGAATGACCTCACTTGTCGTCGGGACAATGGTCACGTGACCTCACAACCAAAGTCATGTGCACATTTTCTCGAATTTGAGAATATTTTTTCTTTTCTTTCGTTTTTTTCTGCTAAAACCCATATATATATATATATATATATATATATATATATATATATATATATATATATATATATATATATATATATGACACCTGTTGATGATATAATCACCCGACAGGCCTATATGGTTAGATTGCATGTGGAGTACGTAGGCTGGGGTGGAGCTCACTTGTCTCGGCCGAGACAGGGAACACGTTCATCCCACGCCAAGCCTTTCATCAGGAAGACCGCCATGACGTCAATCCATATCTCGGGCACCAGGAAAACCGTTTCCTGTCTGGACCGCGACACAGGCGAACCCCACCCCACCCCTCCGCCTGAGCCTATCTATCGATCGAAAGCGGTCGGCGACAGAGTGGAACGGCGGGATACGACATGTCGCCGACGGGGCAATCATCGGCTTCATCCACCGTCGCCATGGTAAACCGAGTCGACTCAGCAGATCCCAGACACGGGTGCAGAGAACCCATCAGCTCTGCACGCCTGCTTTCCCTGCTGCGATGATCGATCTCTCAGTCCTCTGTGTTCCCCAGCCACCCGATGCAAGCAAACAAGCATGCATGCACCCGTCTCTTCGTCGCGAGAGAGAGAGAGAGAGAGAGAGAGAGAAAAGACAGTGGAACTGAGGGGCAATAAAATAGTCTTGACAAGAGAGCGCTACAGCGGAGAGGATGGAGAGCGTGGCCCGCCTATCACATGACGCAACTTTTGCCGCTTCCTTCCCCCACCTCGGCGGCTTTCCTGCGCCCACAGAGAGAGAGATGGAGGGAGGGAGAGAGAGAGAGGTCGGCAATGGCTCCCGCTGTTTCTGTACTCATGTCTCCTCGGACGTGATGGGGGGTTGGTGAGGAGGGAGGCGAGTGCTACGGCTCAGCCTTCAACCCTTCCTTCTCTTCAAGGCCGAAAAATAAATACCTCTACTTGAAATGTTCGATCTTTTAACCCAATCACCGAACTGAGATTCCAATTCGAATTCCTAACAATTAGATCGAATGCAACAATACAGATCGAATATTTTGTTTAATATAATTTAATAACTAGCTGAATTCTACGTGTCGAGACTCGATTAATCGAAAATATTCGACATAAATGTTGATAAGATGACGTTACCACAAGTCCCCCGATCAAATGAATCGATACACCCAAAATAGCTTTCTTTGTTCACCCATTCATCGTGCGAGGGGAGGAGGATCGGAGGACATGCAGGGACGAAGTACATGTCAGTGACAAACACGTAGACAAACTGCTGATCTTTGAATACGGAAAGTAGATTGCATCGAGCACACAATGAAAGGAACCCAACTGTTCATCTGCACCCCCACCGATAGTTACACCGACTCTACCACCAGAAAGAATTTGATGGTAATGGTACCATCATCATTAACAAGTACTTTGAGAAGATAAAGAAAAAGGAAAAAGAAATGCTTCGTGGTCTTCACATCACCACGGTTTTGTGATGGGGAAAGCTTTAGCCCTCCCCTCCACTACCAAGAAAAGAAGACCTGCTTTTAGGGTAGTGATCAGTCACTACCAGAGATAAGACTGGTATCTCATTCCCCCTTATCATCACAATCCAACAAACTATAGGTTATGTAGGTGATTCTGAGATGTCAACCCTCAAGGCTTCCAGCAACAACATACAAAAAAGCATGTTCCAACCTAATCTTGTCCCTTCCTTTACATTATCAAATGCTTTTCATCCAATACACCACCTAATTCAGTAATCTTGACATGACAAAACATTAATCACATAGTGTAAATCGTTTTAAGAGCTAGCTAACAATAACATCATACACCAATTTGATCCATATGGAAAGCCTGACTGGAGAAGAAAGCCTCTCTACCAAGTGATGTTTTGCAAACCAAAACAAAGAGCAGAAGAAGAACATTTTCTCACAGTTGGAGCACTCTGCTGTTTACTTCTTGCAGACCAACAGGAAAACAACTGCAGCTGGGATCTCCAAAACACCAAGTTTATCCAGGAGACATTCCCTCACCACATGAAGCTATAGTATTTTTGCATGCCTAATGACAATTTAGAAACACTGCAAAGGTAATCTTGTTGCGAAAAATTACATGGTGTGACTGTAGGATAAAATCAGGATGACAGAATTCTGTAACCAGGTAGGAATTTGTGTAATTCCTCATAAATGTAAAATGCTGTCAATGGTTCGATATGTTCATGAGAGGTTGGAAGAGTCATGTAAAGATAACCTGAATTCCAAGATAACATCGTTTGTTCATATGCATTCCATGGCAGTCATTATTTATGCTACCATCAGTAGAATGCCCTGAGAGTAATAAGAAAAAAGACAGTGCCATGCACCAACCAACCATCAACATACATATATGTGTATCGGTCTTAACCGGCGCAACTAGGCACATTACAGGGTGCTATTGAGAGAGCTGAAATCCTCGGTCGATTGAACGGCAATAGGGTTCCCCTCTGTCAGTCTCATGAGCTAAAATGGCAATGATCAAATGTCTAGTATGATCTTTATTCGAAAAAGAGAAACAAAAAGGTCTCTAACATTAGTTAACCATTCATGTCCAGACCCACCAAGCCATTAACTCAACAAAGACACTGAAGGCTTCAAGCAAAATCAATCATCAGTAGATATTCCCTGAAACAACTTAGTATTTCTTTCTCTTTTTTCCAATTAATGTAGCATCTTAATTCGATTAAAGTACCAAATCAAATGCCTAAATTTAATGTAGAAGTTTGTAAACGGAACTTTTCAACTATATCATGCACTAATAATTTTATAGCTACAAAGAACATATAAAACATCGCTTGCATGCACTCGTGTACAATGCTACGGCTTATATCTTTAATTTGCAGCATATAAAGTTCATGAGAAAGTTGCAACCAAGGTCACAAGTAGCTTCTAAACCCTTAAGAATTCAGAAGTTTTGATAATATACCAAAAGCCATGGATTACGCAAAAAACAAGTAGAGAGGGTCGCGACGGAGGAGGATCAAAGCTAGGACATCCACGTAAATGATCTGCTAGCTCACAGGAAAGATGATTTCAATGACAAATAAATAATTAGATGTAGTCAGAAGGCAATAAAAAAAATGAAAACAGAATGAATCCACATTCATAGCCGAACTAGCATAATCATGAAAGTAGCAAGAACTTACAGACCCACATACACCAAGGTAAACATATATACAGTTTTTAAGCCCAAAATGTTCATTTAATTTACAGAAACCCAATTTATTGTTGAATTTTTTATTTAGCAAGTCATAGTTTCCCTTGATCACAGGTTTGATTCTTTCAGAGCAAGCAAAAAACTTGAAGAGAAGTACTTTCTCACCTAATTCATCTTTTATCATAGTAAATGCGTATTGAGTTTTCAAAACAAAATTACCTGGTATTTCCTTTTTGTTGATTTTATCTACTATTTTTATGTAATTTTGTGCTTCACTTAGGACTACTCAATTTTAGTGAATTTTAAGAACAATAATATCCGATAACCCTTTCGCCTTTTAAAGATGTGCGCGACGAAGGGCCAATATCCTTTTTGCTCTTTAAATTTTAGAAGTCATAAACTTCCTGCTGAAAATTCAAATCATATGGTGTCAGCAAAAATGCCATTGTTAAGGGAATACAAAAATAGTTATTCAGTGTTGCATCAAATCTGGTCCCTTGAAATAATTTATAAAGAACTTCAAAAGATTAAAATAAATGCTTTTCGGGTGAAGCTTGAGAGGTCATGCCACCCCTTATGAATACATTGTTATGACTAACAATACTTGTTGTATGAAACATACAAAAAAACACACAATAATAGACAATTGACTTTAATAGGAAATCAGGACACCGACAAATCATCGAGTAGTTTTTGGTACATAACAAAGCATTTGGTTTCACTACTGTCTTTAGAATTTCCATAGATATGGAACAAGATAAACTTAATTTGCGCAAGAAGTTTAAGGATGATGCATGCTTATTTATACACATGCTGCACAAAATTATGAACAGGTTAGCAACTCAAACATCTGTTCACCATCAGAAAACAAGATGTACCTGTCAAACATGTCATTTGTCTAGAGAACATACGATGATGGTATAACACAGGATGCAATCGAGTAATTAATAGGTATGTTGTGGATTAGCTCAAAGGTAGAGGCAAATAAAGTAGAAAATTGAAACTACACAAGCAGCAGCTTTGACATGTCCAACAGTAACCTATAAAGGAATCTTGTATCGAGAAGGAGAAAACAAAAGGAAGAAAGACCAACCTCAAAAAGAAATAGAACAGTTTTTGGGACTGTACAATGTTGTTGTATTAAAATCATACAAATTAAAACTAAGCTACTTACTTGAGGCACAGCCGCAAAGGTTGATCTCTTGTGTCTTCTTTTTCCCATTCGGAGTCACTTTAGCCTCGAGAGAGAAGGAGCACACATGCTAGAGCTCATCCCTATCCGTAGGTAGCATGAAAGATCCAAATTGCCACAGGTGCAGCATACACTATAGGGAAACATTTCTACGAGGAAGAGTGGTAAAAGGCTTTCTGCTTCTTGGGATTCAGCTTACTCCATGCATGGCCATCATGTCCACATGGAACCAACTCAAGCAAGTCCTTCGCAGTCTAAGTTATAGTTTCCGAGGTTGAAACAATGTGAAACAGAAATCCAGGCATGTCCATTTCCGAACCCGAAGCATATCCCGCAGATCCCGTAAAGACGGCCATCTTCTTGGGACCAAACTATAGATAGAGCAACACGAGACGTCAAAAGGAAGACGAAGATGCTAATAGGTGAGGAACAAGAAGAGTGCCTGCTCTAAGTTTGCTATGCTAGAGAGTGATCAAGAAGGAGAAAACTTGAAATTATTTGGAGAGATTACACAATTGCCGGATGATGAGGAGGAATGCATGGTATAAGAAAAATTGGTGACCAGATGAGGCACGTTAAATAACACGGACGTGACCTGTGGTCGTGAAGGAGACGTGCTTGGCGTTGGCATCCTCTTCGTAGGTTTCTCCGCTATGGTCTGTGTTGGTGGGGGAAGAATTGCGTGCCGGCCATGAAGGCACTTAAGGGAGTCGGGTAAGGCTCAAGCAATTCGGTGGCTGCAGCAGTGGCAGTGGTCGCAATGGCGGCATCTCCAGCACTGGCACTGGCACTGGCACTGACTATAGCAGTAGCAGCAGCCGCTGCGGGGGAGGAAGAGCCTTCACCGTGGTGGAGCTGGTACCGAGAGGAGGAGGACGATGGGTACTCGGCCTCGGGGCCGTGATCATAGAGAAGTCCCTTGAACACATGGCCGCCGATGCTCACGGCGGCCTGGTACGCGTATATGTCGTCGGCTTCGTCCACGTGGCTCAACCGCACGCACCGGAACACCGCCTGCGCGCTCACTTCCGGTGGGAAGCTCTCGGGGTCCAGGCTTCCTCCTGCCATAGCCAGCCAAGTAAGTAGAAAGGAAAGAGCGAGCTCAACAACATGTGGTGGGGAGTGAGGGAGGGAGTGATCGGTGTAGCAGAAAGAATGGAACTGCGCAAGGGATTCTGCAAATAGTGGCTCAGATAACAACAACAGTGTCGGGCACTGCTTGGGAGTAGCAGGAAATTGTAGTACCATACGTGGTGGTCGAAGCCATGGCGGCTGGCAGTCGGGTGCAGGCCGTGATCTCCCTCGGCCGCTTGGAAGGCTCGCCCCCTCCGCTGCTGCCTTCGCCCGTGGATCGGCCGCCACCGCGGTGGCGCTCGTCGTGCTGCACCGCGGCGGCGGAGGCGGTGAGCTCCTGCTGGCGCTCCCTGCGCTTTGCGGCGGGGACCCAGGTGCTCTTGACGTGGGTGGGGCACTGGAAGCCGCGGCTCTTGCAGCAGGTCCGGCACCTCATGTGGGCGCAGTCCTTCTTGGCCTGGTTGCCGCAGTCCTGGCAGCTCATCACCCCGCTGCCGCCTCCCAGGCTTCCTCTCGCCGGCCTCGGCGCCACGGACGGCAGCTCATCGGGGAAGCCCGCGGTGGAGTACAGCTGCTGCTCCCGCTGGATCTGGTGGTGCTGCCACAGCTCGAAGCCTCGGGTGTAAGCGACGTCCTCGCCCCGGCCTCCGCGAACGCCGTAAAGAAAGAAGCTCTCCGACGGAGGGATCCCTCCTCCTTGCTGCTCTCCGCGCTGTTGCTGGCTGCCACCGCCCCCTCCGAGAAAAAACCCCGCCATGATTACTCCCCCACCGGACTAGTTATACTCGATCCATAGCTGCTGGCGACCCTTTCCTTGCTATCTAGGGGAGGTGGGACAGCGATCTCAGGAGGGAACGCGGGAGCAAGAAAGAGGAGAGCCAAGACGGAGCGAGAATGGCCACTGCCACCTCTGCTCTATTCTTTCTTCTTTTGTCCCGCTGCTTTTTTGTCTCTGCAACCACAACGCACCCAACAGCCAGCAGGAGTGGAGCAGTCGATGCTGCCGGCTTCTTCCCTGTATGACTCCTCTCTCTCTCTCTCTCTCTCTCTCCTTGACTTCTCCTCTTGCAGTCTCCCTTTTCTTGAATTCCGAAACCAATGGTAGTTTAAGGGAGAAAGAAATCAGAGAGTCTGCTGCAACGCCGCCATGGAGACGGCTGTGCTGCCGCCTCGATTCCCCATTTATTGCTCCCTACTTTCTCCTCTTTCTATTTCCAGTTTCCACCACTTTCCTCGATCCCCATACCCTTCTCAGTTCTCCCTCCGCCTTCCGGTTCCCCCGCCTCTCTGAAGCCCCGTCAATGAATGACTCGTCTTCGACGCTCGAAATCGGACGGAGATCAGTAAAGTCTCGGTTGTCGCATTATTGCGGGAGGAAGAGAGGTAAAGCGGAAGGCGGACGAAAGCCATCCGATCGTCCGACTCATGGACGGCGAAGAAGCGGCCACGCGGCGGGGATCGGGCCGTGGGTTCGGCCGTCCTTTTTAACCGGAAAACCCGGTGCTTTTGCGTGACGGATGCCCACTTTTGAAGTCGGGCGCTGTGTTGCTGTGCTCGCTTGTCTTCCCTGTTGGCCGAGAAGACAGCCAACAGCGTCTCCAGTTACCTGTGACCACCGCGTCTTATCGCCTGCTAATTTACCCACATCCCCTCGTTACTGCCCTGTACGACACACGGAATTCTAGCGATGCTGTGTTGTTGTTGTCGTCGTCGTCGTTCCACTGTCCATCCGACCGCCACTCACCAAAATAGGTGAGATGAGATGGATTCTTCCCAAATCTTATACCAACTACTTGTTGTTTTGTTGATCAACTACAATACCTTACTTATATAATTTACTTATATATCATCTCATATAAATTCGAAAGTTTTATTTTATTTTATTTATTTTAAATATATATATATATATATATATATATATAAATCCTGAGGTACTTAAAAAGTATTTCTTATATTTTATTTTCCTTGCATCAAAAGTAAGTAAATAAATATATATATAATATATTTATTAAAAAAATAAACCTTAACTTTCAAAAAAAATTATGGAAATTTTATCTCGTATTGATATTAAACATTATCTCTATAAATTATAAGATACTTATCCATCTTAACAAATTAAGATCCTCTTCCTCTTGCTAGCTAACGTGGTTGTCATTACTAATGCATCTGTTTAAAGAGATTAATTATATATTATTTTTTTTATAATTATTTATATTTAATATTTTAAAATTTATATTGAGATTCTTATACTCATGAAAGTAAAATATTTCATTCTATTTCTCTTCATAATAAAAATATCGTACATAATCAATAGTAAATCAAAATGAGATAACATGTTCAATGATAAATACTATGGTATTTCCGTCAAGCAAAGTTAAATATTTTTATTTTCATAAATATAAAAATCTTAATATAATATTTAAATTTATAAAGATCGAAATACTAAAGATAATTAATTAGTAAATGATGAATTCTTACGAAAATAGATTTCACCTATCAGAAATTTTTGATGAGTTGTGGTGAGGATGATTGACCGAGAGAAGGTTTCCATATGATCTCAGCACGTATGTGCAAGGGAGATAATAGAGGAAGGGTGAGGTGAAAGCGAATAAAATGAGAAACAAACATATTGGAAAGGAAGCATCTTTAAAACATGGCGGAAGTACTTCCAAGTTACAACAGGAATTTATTGCCGTCCACAACACGTCAAAAGCCAATCCATGGAAAAAGGTTGGTAGGTAAGTTCGCTTCTCTTAGCACAACTCGCAAGCTTTTCTTCCGCTTTACCACAGAAAGCATCCAAACTTTTCATATCAATTGAAGCATACTTTTTTCCTCCCCCTCTCGTCCTTTAAAGAGAAGCTTACTTACATCAATGCAAATGCAAATGCACAATGAACTTGTTCAAGAGAAGACACCATGACATCTTTGCACAGCCAGAGAGAGAAAGATATTAGGAAGTTGATAGTAAAAAAGCAATGAATTCTACCTTGTTTTAATTCTTTTTTTGATGTAGAATCAGCAAATATCTATCTGATGAGTTCATATGATATTACATTTTAATTCTATCTATATTGCATTACACAGGGGAGTATTATCAATCAATACTTGAATTTACATGTATTCTTAGAATGATTTTTGACTCGAAAAATATTTTCCCCTAACCTCATCGTCATAAATATTAGGGAAGATAAAAGCTTTCTCACTAATCAAATACTTTAATTCCATTTCAAATATTTAGATCTTATCGTGTATGCTTTCGATATAATTTTGTATCATTGTGTCTCGAAGTTAAGTTGAATTTCATCTCGATTCAAACCATCTGACTTCTAAAAAATCTAAGTTGAGTATTCTAGCTATGATCCCTAATTTACAGTATATGATTCAAGTATGATGTCCATAAAAGAACAGAGTTGTGATAGCTTAACACATCACGTCGAGTTGATAGTCGATATGAAAATTAGATAATTTGATTATTCAAGCTCACTATTAATCATTCGATCAAATAAAAAAAGTTTATAAACTATCATAGTTGAATTCTAAAAAAATAGGCTTATATCTCTAATAAATTCTTGCAAAGCATCATAACTTTTAAAAGTTTTAATAAAGCATCCCTTATTATATGTGAAAAAATTAATTTATCTTTATTTTTGTCAAACTGATCGTCATCTTTGTCATCACTTCTCCTTTGCATGCCAGACTTATTGTTGATTCCGAATACATTGTTAACTCCTATCAAATCTATCTTACCCTTGTGCGAGGAAAGAGGTACGACGATGACTCTCGTACATAGTGGAGAGTCATACATGGTTGTTATCATTGTTTACTATACAAGAGCAAAAGATAAAGAAGACAATGATTGCGGTGATATAGGAGTGAAAGCAGGTCCGATAGGAGATAGAGATAAAATGATTATTAAAAAATATATAATTAAAAAATACTATATAAATATTTATCAAAAATACTATCATCATATGTTTTTCTTTAAATATTTAAGTACCAAATCTAGATGAGATCCAATTCCCATCATCGATTTCCTGGCAAAGGCGAGTATACACTACACATAACTCTTTCTCTCTCTCTCTCTCTCTCTCTAACCCAAACCTCTTTCCATCGTTTACAACAGTGTTTATAACCCAAGCGTAGTCACTGTACCATTCATTCGTTGGATTCCCAATAATTGTGTTCCTCTCTCTCTCTCTCTCTCATCTCCTCGAGCCATGTGCGTCCTACCCGGGTTGACTCCCTTTCCGCTCTTCCTCTCTCTCTCTCTCTCTCTCTCTCTCTCTTTCTCATCGTCTTTCTCTGCATCACTTGATGTGAGGGAAGAAGGGAGAAGAAAGACGGGGTTTGAGACGACCCAAATCCCCATATTTAACTAACCCTACCTTGGGATCATGATCACCAACAAGAACCTCTGCAAATGAGGGTGCAGCAGCAGCAGCGGCGGCTTTGAAACGCGTGCATGTTAAAGCCCTTCTTCACTGTCCCGACATTAATTACACGTCACCGCGGCGCATGTGAAGCCCATCGTGTCCTGCCGCTGCTGCACCACCAACTCCGAACGCGAATATTAATGCAACTCTCGATGGCAATTGGATCGGATCTTCCTTGGCTCCGAAACCATCGTAGATCCATTAATCTCTCTCGTCTGCGTAGATCCATCAAACCCGGCCAACATGTCCTTTTGATGGTCCTGATCTTATCATGCACTTTGCAGTTTGGACCACCACCGCACGATGCATACGGTACGCTGTAACGTATGTAGAGTCTGATAGCTGCTGTCGCCTACTCCTCACTCGTATGTAGATCACATTCTCTCACTTCACAGGAAACTACTGCTCTTGTTTGACTAATAGTCAACCATATTACACGTTTTTCTTATGGTTAGTGAAGTAGTCTGACTAAAAGATAAAGGTGTAATCCTGCTTATGATTCGAACTAGAATCGACACTGTGCTCAAAACAGAGTCCAGCTGTGCCCACTCATTTCCTACGTCATCATACGAGATAGCCTTGACATGAGAGGAGTGAATGCACAGCAGACTGATAGCACGGGCCCCCCACCATCCTATGTCGTATACTCTCTCTCTCTCTCTCTCTCTCTTGTATAAAATTAGTCTCCTCGCTTGTCATCTAATCTTCTTGGGCACCCACTAGATCTGTCTTGTCTCCTTCTGACGAGCATGAAATGAACACTCTCATGGATTGCTCAACACAAGATTCTATACTCGGTATGTACAGTGAGATACTCCACGGCTGGACTTTGTAATGGTTGTTGTTATGCGTGCATGAGTCCTTCCTCTAATGCACAATGGACTTCATAAGTTAATGGACTGGATATACAAGCAAAGACTAAAGATACATAAAAGAAAACCTAAAACAAGTTCCTCCCATGATTCCCATCCGGAGGCTTTTCTTCCTTAGCTTTTATGTTGTTCTAATGCAGAACTGGACTGTCATTCTGCTCTTCTGGGGATGGAAGCATGAATTGTGCATGAGATTGACGCAGGTTAGAGGACAAAACAGGAGGAAGGTGAACATAGGATGCCTAAACAAGAGGAAGGTGACATCGAAGCTTGAAGGTGGCGGCAAGTGGCCGCATGTGACTCCTCCCCACAAAAGTGATGACCAGATGATTCCTCCCTTGGTGTTGTTCGAGATGCTGGAATAACTTGAGACCATGGCAAACCCACTCGTAGACCTAAAAGATTCTCAAGGTCGGATTAGGTTAGGGTTAGGTCTACTTCCTTTGGGTTTAGGCTCTTCGATCGATAGCTTCTAACTCACCTATGATCTGAAAAGGCACCGGGGAGATGGCAGCATCCAAGAGAACCTGCACTGTTGACATGATAGAAAAAAACATAGTTGCTTTTCCTCCTTGTGGCCAAGTTTACCTGTATCTTTTCCTTCTTCTACCTCTTGCAGAGCTGCATTGGTCCACAAAATCTAGTAACTGCCTTGTGTTCTTTCTCATCAAGTGAAAATATATGGGGTGAGAACCAAGTTTCCACTAGTTACATTAACCCTATTCTCTTAGAGCTTAGTGCATGGAAGCCATGTTGACAAAGCAGTATGTGGATTTTATGAAGGGGAAAGATTAAGCTATCTTTGTGTGATGTGGGTGCAGGTTGGCCATTTCTCACTCACTATTCTGAAGATGATGTTGGCTTTCCTCGTTCTCAGGCTTAGGCAATTATATTCAATCTAAAATCAATGATCAACATGGAACAAATATCATTACTGTAGGAACAAGAAAAGCACTTTAAATTTATATATATATATATATAGAGAGAGAGAGAGAGAGGAGTGCAGTCATGAACTTACAATAATCAAGTGATTAACAATAACCCTAGGTATATAGATCATAAATATACAATAATAAGATTTCCCTCAATTAAGGTTTCAGTACCAATATCTGCAATGCATGCACATATTCAGGATAAAGGTTTTCCAGCTAATTGTAGAGGTCTTCCAGCTCTTCCTCATCCTCCTCTTCTTCCCCTATCGCCTTCTACATCACCACCTTTGAGCAGCTCCACCGCTTCCTCCGTCGTGGGCCGCTGCTCGGGGTTGATATCAATGCATTGCAAGGCGAGCGCCACCACGCGCCCTTCTTCACGAGAGGCAAAACCCACC